TCCCCTCTGCTACTACCTCCTCCCTGTTGCCCCTGTATCACACCAGGTCTGGAATACAACCAGGCCTACTCTCTGGCTTCCTCTACTTCTTACTGACCTATACTTCTTAAATCTGTCTGTAGCATCACTCCTAGAAACCACCTCCACTGCGTTTCAGTCTTGCTAAACATCTGCAAAGATGTACTAATATCTTCCCTGGAAACTAAATATTCCCAAATGGACTCTGTTGGCGAAACATACCTTCACACCTACCGTAGAACCAAACGTACTTTCCTTACGCCTGTGTTCTCAGGCATATTTGACTGTGTTCTCTATGTATTTGACTTTGAATAAACCAAGCTCCTGGCCTCCATACCCTCTCTGTGAAACTCTCAAGTCTATTCTCTTACCAGAATCGGTGAATTCATTCTTGCTCTTTCTGTTCTTAGCTAGGAATGCACACACATGAACACACACATACATGTGTATAAATGCAATCAGCCTCTTGCAATATTTGTCACTTGCTAGTATGTATGATAACCATATGTGCGCACACACCCATACATGAATATATAGTCTTACATTCTTTTCTAAATATTAATATAAAAACATACATACACATATGTATATGTATACACACAGTCTTGCATTGTTACTTGTGTCACATTTCTTCTCTATATCTGCAAAGCTAGATTTAAATTATTTTAGATCACAGAACTTTTTTGTGCTTATAGGTACTATCTACTGCATTCCAAGCAAATTTCTAAAAAAACTTTAGAAAACAGGACCGACAAATTCCATACTTTCAAACACTCACGGTCTATTCCTAGATTGGTTATAGTCAGACTGTTTAATAGGTATATAATATATGCTCACTCTTGAAAAGTTTAGAACATAACTGAGAGCTAGGAAGAAAGATGTGCAATCATCTATATTCCCAATAGTGATCAAGTGTTCTTGAAAACTTCTGCCATTTATTTCCTGCTTGGCATGTAGCAAGACGCCACATACAGATTAGCAGGGAGCCACGACTCACGGTCCTCCTGCAGAAGTTCCATACATTTCAGATCTGAGAGCTCCAGTAACTGCCAAACAGCAATGCCAGCTATAGCTCTGAGTCCTCTCCCCATTAGCAAAGATGAGTCGCAGAGCATGTTGTCAGTAAGGACACAGGTATTTTCTTACCTCCACTGCCCTAAGGAACCCAAGCAGCTACTTTCAGAAGTACCCGGTGAATGAATGAAACATGCCCATTTCTTTTATATCATAGAAGCATTAAAACAGGTGTTAAATAAAGCAGGGACAAGACGGCCTGCAGTGACCCAGAAAGGCCTGTGTGCTATTTAAATGAACCACATGCCACCCATCTTTACACAGGGCTATGCTGTAAAAGCAGCTCTTTATTCTCTCTCTTCACACAATGCACAAAGGAAGCAGGGGGAAGGAAGTTATGTTGCAATATTCTGAAGCATAAATCTTGCCACCAGCCAGCCCAGGGACAGTATCCTGTTTTCCTTACACATGGGTCAGGTTCACCAGAGGCTGGACCTATAGGTCTTGTGCTGTTTTTCCAAGTGGTTTCTGAATTATATGTGGTCACCTACATTCACACATCCAAACACAGATTGTGCAAGTAGAGGCGGTTTGTGTGCCTAGTTACTCAACCAACATGTGCAATTGCATGTTAGCACTGCTTCAACACACTCATAATTCACACTTTCCCAAATTATGACATTTGACTTCATTCCTTTTGTTATCATTTATTTTATGTTGTGGGTTCCCATGAAGAATTAAACTTAGATTCAAACATATGCGAGAGGCAAGAGGAAGAGATTTCTCTACAGTCCTTCCAGTGCTCTCATATTCTTCTATATTGTTACATCTCCATAAATCTCACTTTCTGCTGTGATTAGAATTCGGAAATCCCATGGCCAGTTTCCTGCAGTGTCCTCAAGGTGCCACTTGAGTCAGGGAAAAGTGTTTAACTGCCCGGTGCCTTATTTCATTCTGAGCAACCAGAGGTAGATAACGCTTATTACAGGGAGGTCAGCAAAGGCAGAGCCGTGACTGTTTAGCTTGCTCAAGTACAAGGCCTCCTCAAATGTGATGAGACAGGGCTTTGAGAATCGGGAGAAGGTGAGCACAGGTGAAAAGTCCACGTGACAGCCTGGCCCTGGGAAATGACTCCTGTGAAATGCTGCTTTGGTAGAAACGACACAAAGCCGTGGCCGTTCAAAGGTTATTTCACTGCATATGGACTCTCTTTGCCAAGGAAGACCCAATTTTAGAATTTCATTTGTGCTCAAAACACACTTTTCTTTCCCATTATAGAAGAGATGTCTGAGTTAAACACTAGAGGGCAAAGAGTAGAAGTGTCATCATCCTATGCAAATGCTCAGGACACTGCTGCTGTTTGGAACAGCATTGCCACATCTGACCTTACCCTTTGCCTAGACAGAGAAGAATAGGCCCCGTGACATCAGAGGGAGCTGTTTGGGGGCCTTATCTAAACAGTTACTCTCGCTCTCTGTCACTAACAGAATACTTAGTATCAGTCCTGAGGCCCCGGGCATCTCAATAATTCTATATGGATTCTCATTCTTTGTATTCAGACTCTCACTGCTTGTTCCAGCAATCTGACCAACTCCTCTTTTGAACTTCATAAAGGGGAATTTTAGTGGCTTTTTAAAAAGCCCAAACAAACAGAGTTTCTCAAACTAAGCACTGTCACTTGAAATCAGATAGTTCCTTATGATGGTGAGCTACACTGTGCATGATAGGATATTTAGCACAATCCCTAGTCTCTACCCATTAAATGCCAGTAGCATTGCTTCACCCCTAGCCATAACGAGCAAACATGCCCCCAGATACCTCATGTCCCCTGGGGGGCAAAATTACCTTTGGTTGAGAATCATTGTTTTAAAATGACCTAATGAGAGATTCAATTAAATGAACCTTGTGTTTCAGAACATTGAAAACAATTCTATCGGTGGTAGAAAGTTATATAGGGAAACAAAACGAGTGTCATTGCATAGATTAAGCATCTATATATAGATAACTGACTAGGGGCTGAGCCAAGGCTCCTGGTGATATAAATGGGAAGTACCCCATGCACATAGCACAGTGCAAAGTGTGGGGACATAAGGTCGTGGAGAAACTTATTCTCTTAAAAACTGGCCCACCAGGGAAGCAAAGGCTCCCACGTTACCCCACCCACCTTTTAGTTACACACACCTTTTAGTTATTCTACAACTTCTGCAATGATCATCTACAAAATACATGACATTCACCTGATATGGAAAAGCAGATGATTAGATGTCTATAGACAGGGATGTTTTTGTAAAGTTCTGTTTATTTAATGCTGCATGACTTAGAATGGGCCTGTGCTTGACAAGTGTACTGAATGAGGAATGTTCAGTTTACCAGTTTCAACCAGCCAAGTCCTCACATGAACTTTCTAAGACCCGGCTGAGAAGCCTGGGAAAGTGGAACTAACCACAAACCTTTGGCGTTTCCTTTACCTGCTTATAGAGCCCCAGCCCAACTCCCCGATGTACACATTCCTTTTAGACTCATTTTATGCTCCAGACATATCATAAAACCTTAGCTTAAAGAGGAAGCACCTACAGCTCCCTTTGGTTCACCAGCTATCTATGCTTCCATGTCAACCAACCCTGAAAGGAAAGATTCTGTTCTATTTGAAAAGACATATATGTACGGAACAGAAAAGCAGACTGATAGACCTTTGTGAAGGATGGCTCTCACCCTAAATCATTACTTCCATATTTTTAGCATGGTGTAGACTTTGGCATCAGATAAATTCGGAATTAAAATGCCAGATCTTTGTCAACATGTGATGTGGGGAAAATCACTCACTCACTCTGAGATTTAGTGTCATCTGCATTTGTAAAGTGGAAGTGATGATAATAATAGTATCTATACAAGAGAGAGATGCTTCTGACATACAGAAAGCAGAAGCACCCCCAAATATTGGTCATTGTTGTTATATTATTATTGTTGTTATCAACATTACTATAGTCATATTTTGCTCATTATCCTACATTTATTTAGTGCTTTCCATGTACTAATTGGTGGAAAAGCTCTATTATTGTTATAATATTGCCTTCCTTAAGAGTCAGGATTTAGATAAAATAATACTGAAAACCAGTAAAGTTTTGCACTGAGGAATAATAAACAATAGGACCTGGCACACAGTAGGAGCTCAGAAAAGGTAAGATGATGACGGTGGTGCTGAGGGCTATGATTTTGAAAATGACTTGATTAGGCAATCTTAACTCAATTCACTTTTTGGAGTACTCACTAAATGTTTGCTGTTATATGAAACGATTATTTCCAAGTAGATGAATGCTGATCTTGTAAGAAAGAGCCTGTTTTCTCTAAGTAACACTTTAATAGGAGTAGATTAACATTCTTTATTATAGGGTTGGCTTATAATAAGAGTCTAGAGTCTGGGAGGTAATTTTCACTACTGAAAGGTAAACGAATTTTGACTAATTTATAAGTATATATTAGATGTGTTGAGTTTAGAAGTTTCCACCATATAAAGAAATTAGAGGTATGAACCAAAAATGTAATAGCAATAATCAAAACTGTTCACTTACTTGGTAAAAGAAATACAGATAGACATCTAACCCTTGATGAAAAAGCAGTGCCTTATAATATTCATTATACTACACAGTGTTTACTGCTAAATCTCTTTTTGTGGGAAATAAGAATCAACAGGTTTAGGCATTTCTTCTTCTATGTCACTAATTCTTTCACAACCTGTTGTATTTCAACACAGTTTAAAGCCCTCTGTTGCCGGCTCAGAGCCCCTTAATTCTCAAAAGCTATCCATGTGTTTTCCAAATATTATTTTTCCATAAAAGAGAAAGTCTCTGTGATGAAAAATCTTTCAGTGACAGTAGAAAGAACCCATTATGTTTCTAGGCCTATTACCATGTTAGTCTGGCCCAAACCAAGATCAATGAGAAATTAATTTTTCCAGAGGAAGTCCTTACCTCGAATATGTTAGAAGGCTCATTGTTGTACTGGTTGGATATGATTTCTGATTGGTCACTGCACCACTTGAGTCCACCCAGAAAGCTATCTGTATCCAAGTCATTCACATCTAGTTCTGAAAGATCAAGTTCGGGAAGATCTGGGCAAAGAGGCTGGTCTTCACCAACCAGAGCAGCACACTGCAGGAGGTAGAAAAGGGGGGGAAAAAAAGATTTCATTAACTGCAGGAATTTATTAAACTGCAATAGCATGTGATAGGAATTAAGCCTGGTTAATTCAGCAACACCACCAATGCTGTCCTATGGGGCTTTAATCACTAGGGAAAACACCTTAAATTCTTTTCAACCTGGTTCCCAAAGGGTACTTTGATTTATTCCATCCACAGTTCCACTGCCAGATACACGATAAGTCCCATTCTCTCAGGAAGCCTTCACTGGTTCTCCCAGTTGGAAATCGTCAGGATTTGTTTGCACCTCTTTGGTAGGTATTACTTTGCAAGCTCTAAATCATCTTATATTTAACTGTTCACAAAGTTTTACTCCATCCTTAGCACAGAATATCTTTGCGAGAAGGATCAGAGCTTTGTTTTACTTTGGGAATGGCATCACACACAATAGGCTCTCAATAAACAACTGCTGAGTGACAAATAAACACAAGAACTATACTAGGAAACTTTCTCCATATATACCCTTTTTAAGCATTATAACCCATATAATTCATTTAGCAACTAATGATGCAAGTGCTTTGACTTGTCTATGGTTCTCTTGAAATATTTAACTTGTTTACTGTCACTTGACTTTTTATGAGTTTCCGGACTTCATCCTTAACAGGTCAAAAGCAAATTCCTTGAGATGAAGAACAAAAATTATTATTTTTCTTATGTGGCCTTTATAGTGTTCACTAGGAGCAACGTGCAAGTTTCATGTGTGTGTGTGTGTGTGTGTGTGTGGTCAGTGTCACCTGGAACCTGGAAAAGAGAAACCACACCACAATTACATTTCCATCGTTATCTAAGGAAACTATTTATATTTCATCTGAATTCAGAATTATTATTTTTGTTTAGAGTTACAAAATGATTTCAGTACAATGAAAGAATTAAAATATCCTTTGGTAGGAGCAGCTTATCCCCAAGACTATTTTAGATGGACATATTTCTTCACCTGACATGAGGTACATATTCTTTTTACTGTCCTACTGTGTTGAGCACATTGGACCCCCTTACCAGTGAGGTGGTCTCCGCCACTTGCACTGGTTCTCTAGCTGTTGATTCCAGTCAGCACGCTGTAAGGAACCCTGCAGGCAGTCCTACTGCAGGCATCTGATGATGTCAGAGCCATAACAATCTCATCCACCTGCAGGCCAAGCTGTCTAAATTGAGGGTCTCACACTCAGATATAGAACCCTCATGCCTCTCCCTTCCAAGGTCAGGAGAGATGGTATTCACATCCAGGCTGCTGTTGGGCATAAAGCCGAAGAGCTCCCTTGACATTTAGATCTTTAATAAAATAAGTTTTACGCAGATTTTTTTCTCAAGCACCCCTGTCATCCCCGGCAGGCTACATTACACAGGTCATATGCTGCAGTGTGATCATAAGCCACACGCTGAGAAGTAGGTACTGGGTAATGGAGTCAGCAGTTGGTGAGAGGAGAGGAGGAGGAGCCTGCAGTCACTGCGGTTCTTTCCTGAGACCACCAGGCCCAAGAAATTCCCTGGCAGAAGGCACAAGCCAATGCAGAGGAAGGAGAATCTTCTCTATTGCAACTCCTTTCTGATCACTGTATTAGTATTTTCTTTTTATTATCTGAGTTAGCTCAAAGTTTCAGATCAGTGTACTTGAACAGGTTTTTAAGTAAGATGAAGAGGAGCTATTGTCTTGGTACAATGTTCAACTTGTCTTGTGGGTGTCACCCTTCCTGGGTTCCATTCTCACCCACACTACTTGTTCCCCAAGCACCACAAATAGTATTAACTTTTATCCAACACCATCAATGCAGAGACAAGGCAAGAATTTTTTCAGCAGTGCAAAAAAAAAAAAAACCAAAAAACCACTAGATTTTCACTGGTGGGGCTGGAGGGCACAGTCCGTTTAAAAAAGATAAACAGAAAAGAAAACAGTATCAAAAAAGAAATGCAAGACAGAAAACATATGCTGTCTATCTCTGGCTTTTGTTCCTGTAGCAATGCGCAGGAACCGCGACTTAGAACCCCGAAGTTCCATACTGATTGACAGATCGGCTGGGAGACAACTTCTCTTTAACTGCCCTCTTCAGGCTCGACCTGTTCAAACCCCTTTCACCCCCTGAAAATATGTATTTGTAAGCAACTTTTGAAAAATGTTAAAAAGACCAGATCAATGTGTTGTATTTTTATCGTCCTAAAAGGTATTCCTGTTTCCCTTTCTTCTCTATCTCCTGTCTCTCTCTCTCTCTCTCTCTCTCTCTCTCTCTCTCTCTCTCTCTCTCTCTCTCTCCTCCTATCTCTCCAGTTTTTGCTTTTACATTATGGTTCAAAAAAGTGTCTGTGCTCTTTCCAGTGTCAACATGCTAATAAAATCAGTGCTCCTGAGTGTGGCATTATTCTGCTAATCTAAAACACATTAGTAGTAGTAAATGTTCCTGTTATTAATTTATATTTGGCCTTTGAACAATGCCAGATTTAACAGTCCAAGCCCTGTAACTGTCCTCATCTGACATGCTGATATTTACAGCTTCCCTATACATCTGTAACAGGTGTGCTTTATTGCAATTACAGAGACACATTCTCCTGCCTCTTTGCAACTATGACAGCAATTCCACAACTGTAGCCTTCATTTTATAATAAGATTTAAGAGGATAAAGCAGTTACTAAACACAAAAGGCTAATTATTGTACGCTATTTCACCCCAACAGACTTTTCTCTTAGTTAAGGAGCAGACAATAAATTAGCTTAACTGCACTGATGATAATGAATCATTATAATTAAGTATAATTCTCCATTAACCTTTTGGAGGTTTTGGTGCCATTGATGGTAAATTTTAAAGAGAGAGAAAGAAGAGTGGACTTGGCCACATTAATTATACTAATGAAAAAAAAAAGAATTTCAACTTCTTAAAAAAATTAGTGAAGACAGAGGGAAGGGAACAGAGAGAGGGGCAGTAAGGACGATAGTCTCTGTGGAGTGTATGTCTTGTGAATCGTGTCTATCAATCTTAGTAACCTTATTGTACATCACCTTCATTAAACTGTGAAACACCAGGGATTCTCAGTAGCTCTAGTGATACAGACCTTTATTAACCAATGTGCTGTCCTGTCATCATGTGCAAAAGGGCATAATACGTTTTAGGATGACAGCAAACATTAATGATTCAAAAAATGAAGGCTGCCTGCGCTACCTGCTGCTCGTAATATTTCAGACTGGCAGAGGTGATTCCCCGCGCTGCCGCCACGGAGGCACGGCTGCTGGCAGCTGGCTGCTCACGGTGAAGCAGCAACTGGCCAGTCCCTGCCGACCTCAGACTCAGTCCACGGCTGGACAATTAGCCCAAGTCCTCTCCTCTTTAGGAAAAGAAATTTAAAAGGCCACTGTCCAAAATGGCTCTGGTACTTCTGCGAACACAACTGCAGGAATTCTGATGATTAAAGTAAATTTTCCTGATTTCCATATGATCTGGTTCCTCAATCAGCTAGCAGCATCAGGAATTATACATGATGGAAAAATGAAACTACAGCAGCTGAGACCCACTGTGCGAGCCAGGCAGCCGCCCACAGGACACTCCAGCTACTCAGACAATTAGGACTTTGAAGCCACTCAGAACCCTGACGCTTAATAGCTGCAAGACATATGAATTATCCATATCTAGTCCACCTCACCAAGAAATCACAACAAGATAAGAACAATTACAAGCCGCAAATACCATCTGCTAAGGCGAGGGACGGCAAACGGGGCCAATATTTGCAAACACAGCAAAGAGTTAAGAATCCAGGGCATGCCTGGCTAGATACGAAAAATGCATTCTCGGACGGCCTGGGCCAAATTATTTTCACTTTAGATGTGTATCGCTGCACCGCGTGGACATCTTATTTAATCAAATCACGTGTGGCCCTGGATCCTCCCCCTTACCCTACGTGCCCTCAGCTACCCGGAGGAAACACGCGCAGTCCTTCGCCAGATTCATTGTTAGCAGCTTGGATCCTCTGTGCAATTCAATTCGGCTCCATCTCAGCAGAGTCCGCAGAAAGTTTTGCTCGTTTCCCAAGTTGCCCAAACTTTCTGAGCACATTCCATTGTGCTGAACGCAAACACGCCCCGGTCCTCTGTCCCCCAGCGAGACTCCAGAGATTACGAGGAAACCGCTTACGTTTTTTACCCTTCTGTATGAATTGTAGCCAGCGGAGACTGTGGAATTGATGTATTGCCGTCTATTTTTACACAAGCAGGGAGCAGCTCCACACACAGTCCCTGCATAAACTCTATTCTCTCTCGGGCTTCAGGCAGCTCTCCGTGGTACAGGGAGATTTAACCATTGGCTTTCCTGCCACCGACGCACACGGAAACCTTGCACTGGAAGGCTTTATTTATTTTTTCCTAATTCGCTGGCCAAATCTTTCAACCACGTACATATAAGAGTTTTAAAGGAAGCAGCATCTTTGCTTTGTGTTCTGTGGGAAAAGAAATCTCACATAGCCCAGCAGGATTATTTAGGATTTTGTAAATTCTCTGTCTGATGAACAGAGGGAGGGGGAGAAATCCAACTCGAACCAAAACAGACTATATTTGCACACATCCGTTTTAATATTTTTGCCTTCATTTTCGTATAAATAGAAATGGCATTTTTCCAACCAGGCCACTAAACACCACTGGAAAGACTTCAGTTTCTGATTCATATCAATATCTTAGAGCATAAATATTGCATATGAGTAGACACAGAGCCAAAGGCACATGGAAAGAGTTTCTAACTGCAACAGATACTGATGACAGCAGCTATGCTTTGATTTGCTCAAGGCATCTCAGGGCCGCCTTAAAATAGCAAACTTAGGGAGTTAAGATAAGAGTGACATTCCCTTCCCAAAGCTCCTGCCCCGGCTACTTCCCTGCCTCCTGTGCTAGCCCAAGCCCATCCCCCCTTGCAGGAATAATTGCATCTGTGGGAAGCTTTGGTAGTGGCTGCAATGCCGAGCCCAGCCCCAGCTCACCTCGATG